AACTGGGGATTGAACTCAGGCTCTTGTGCTTGCCAGGAAAGCACTTAGTGAGCCATCTCCCTGACCCCTGTCCTTTTCCTTTCTTTTGTTTTTTGGCTTTCACTTAATTTGGTATAACAGAAACAATTTTCAAATTTGTTAGACTTGGGTATAGATTTTGAATGGACAGATTTATAATGGGTAGCACTGTAATTGTGCTTGGAATATGAGTACCCCAGGTCGCTAGGAGGAGAACAGCATCTTTTTATTGCTTCGTTTTCTGAATTCCTTTTGGGTCCTCTCTCTAGTTTGGAAGAATACTTTGCTCTTCCACCTCTAAGAGGTCTTAGTCTTGCAGTCCTGATCAGATTTAGAATAGAATCATTTCTTATGTCTCTGTAATAGGTGGAATGAGATGAGGTGCGCCTTGAGTTTGTCTTCTTATATTCATCTTCAAAGTTGAAACTGTCTCATCCCTTTGCCTGTATATGGCAGGAATAGCATGTCCTCTCTTGATAGGAGCTTGATCAGAATTATAATAATGGGTGTAGGGCCACATCGATCAGTTATAATAATGAGATCATTGTGAGCAGGAATAGGATAAACTAGCTCTAGATCCTTTGTCAGATCTGGAATGAGCTGGGTGTGGTAGCACATGCCTGTTATCCCAGAACTCAGGAGGCTGAGGTAGGAGCATGGCTGTGAGTTTGAAACCAGTGTTGGGAAGACGCGTGCTACATAGCTCGAGTTTTGAGTAGCTAAAATATTATCTCAGTTTTAGATCTTGAAGATTTCACTAAATCTTCATTCTTGAGAGGTGGTGAGCTCTCTCTTTGCTTTTCACTGCTTTCTGAGAATTTTAAATCATGTGATCATTGCCTAGAGGAAGTTCTTAGGGCATCTTCATCAAGTCTTTTTTGTTTAATAAGAGAATTTATTTGAAGATAAGGGGAAGGGAGAAGAGAGAGGACAGACAGCTATTCAAATTAAGTAGAGAGTTTCAAAAGTGAATAACTCATCAGATTCTGAATGCCTTCAGTTTATGAATATTTTTTTCTTAGAACCTGGTTTTTTAGATCTCAGACTAATTTTGGAATTACCTGGAATTTCTTCTTCCTTTACAATCTGGAAATCTTTTTGTGAGAAGATATCTACTTGATCATTCAGATTTGGGTTGTGTGTTCTTCTAAACTGTCAGATATTTGCACACACTACTACCTCCTGAGTGCAGGTATGTGCTACCATACCTTTCTTTGACCCACTGGTGGTAGCTTATTTCCTCAGGTGTATTGTAAGTTATAATGGGTGCTTATGTTTACCTTTGGAAACCTCTTATCTGTAGGATTTTTTTTTAATGTATTTAGTACAGAGTCTACAGGGTCTTACTACATGGATTGGACTCGTAATGATTATCCTGTTTTCAGCCTCCCAAGCACTGGGATTACTTTTCCCTTCTGCCAAGCCAAGGCTGAAATAAATGTTCTGCAGATTTGTGGTGGGTACCAGTGATGGCAAACCTTTTAGAGGTTTCAGTTATAGCCTGCCGCAGCACACACTATATGTTTGCCACCATTTGTTCAGACCTTTGAATTTTCAGCCCTATGCAAGATGGCAGACCCAACTTCTCTTCTGAGTATGCTAATGGGAAACTTCAAGTTAACAGTGTGCTGTACCACTTGATTCCTTTCTCTCCACCCTTTATGTCAGCTGAAAATTTTGGTCTACATCCAGAATATTGTAGTCAGGGTTTACAAGGGAAACAATGCGGGACACATAATTTATAGGATTATTTTATAATAGCCATCGACCAGTAAAATTGAAAGGAGTGCAAGTGATCTGTCCACACAATAAAAACCCAAAGGATCCAGCTGAGGGCCTGGATCCTGTGGCAATGCCCTGCCTGAGTCCAACTGAAGACCTAGAGCCCATAACAGTGCTTCCCACAAGTTCAGCTAGAGGCCCAGAGCCCATGACAATGTCTCGCAGGCCCGTTTCAAGGATCTGAGCTAAGAAGGCCCCAAGGTCAGTGGTGGAAACTAGAAAGTCTGTGCCAGCAGGCTGAAGGTTCTTAACTAGAGCCAGGAAGTGTGACATTCCAAGTAAGTACCAGCACTCCCCCAAAGTGAACTGTGGCCATTCTTAGCAACAAGTTCTTGAGCTCCTTGGCCAATGAGAACAGCTGATTTTCTTTCTCTTTTTTAAGGACGGGGTCGATAAGGTCTCACTCTGTAGAACAGACTCCTAGTGATCCATCTGTGTTCAGCCTCCTAAGAGCTGGGATTGCAGGCGCAGGCTCAGTGCACCCCAGGGGTGGGGCAAGGCAGGGCACACTGGGGATCAAACCCTGGACATAGTGTTCTGTCTAAGTAGGTGCTTTAGTCTGCTGAGCTATTTGGCTGGCCCGAGAACAGCTGAATTCTTACCAGGAAAGCCAGCATAACAAGCTCCTCCAGGAGAGCTAACAGCACCGTAACAATGCCTCTTCTTTTTCTCTAGCTCTTCTTTTTATTTTGTTCACACCATCAGGTGGGCCCCCATTGCCCAGCACCATGCTGATTCAGTTCAGCTGGGTGTTGCAAGTTGCCCACCAGTTGTCCATCCACCACACAAAGATAAGCACAGTCTACCTCTCTTCATTTCCACTACTAGTGGAAATGCTAGTGGCCCTCAGGATCACTGCCGTCCTTGTTCCTTTCCCTTCTTACATCTCTATACTCTGTTTACCATACAGCAGCTGATAATTTAAAAATGTAAAGTGGATAGCATCACCTCTCTGCTTAAAATCCTTTAATGACTTTGGATAGGTGAAGAGTTCTTGTCTGAATTTTGTCTACACCAGTGTTTTCTTATACTAAATCCTTCACACACTGAGCTCCTGCTACACAACCTTCCTAACTAACATTGGGAGCCCTCCTTCCCTTCTCTTGCCTGTAGTGCTTTCCCTTGCATGCCTTTCTCATTCTCTTTTTTGGGCTTAAATGCCACCTCCTTAAAGAGGCTGTCTTTGGTCTCTGTGTTCAAAGTAACTGCCCTGCTTTTGCCCTCACACCACATAGCATTTTGTTTGTTTGTCTGAGGTGGGGTCTATGTAGCCCAGGCTGGCCTTGAACTGGCAAGCATTCTCCTGCCTCGGCCTCCCAAGTGTGGTGAGATTACAGGTGTGTGCTACCATGCCCAGTTGATAGCAATATTTTAATTGCTGTTTTCATTTGTATGCTCCATAAAGGCAAGGTGACTCATTTCACCCTTTATGCCTGATGACTAATAGTATCCTGCACATATTAGACTTTCAAAAAATTGTAGAATAAGTGCATACCTTGGTGGACTCCTCTTTGGATCAAATACAAAGGGCTTAGTTTGCAAAGAGGTGAAATTTAATTTAGCAGCAAAATGTAGTAAGAGTCTATAGGTGGAGCCGAGGAGATAGCTCAGTAGAATAAGTGCTTCTCTGGCCAGCGCAAGGGCCTGACTTCAATCCCCGGTGGTATGTAGGTTAGGGAGAAAAATGGAAAAGAGATGACTTTCCAAACGACTACCCTAGAGATTTGTGTATCCTGTCACTTTCGCAGTGGGCAGGATCTGAGTACAGACCATGCCCAACGCTGAGCTCAGGGACCGACTGGCTGTCCCCCAGCGAAGTCCAGCCCACTAACCCGCCCCCAAGAAAGCGACCAAAGAAAAAGTGGGGTCCGCGCACTACAACTCCCAGCAGCGCCCGCGAGCTGGCCCGCC